GTTAATTGCAGACCTTGTTTGGGAGTTCATCCAAGTGGCCTTGCTTTTGCTTGTTACTCTCATAAGTTGTACGCCTCTTAGACGGTTAGTGTCACTGAGACCCTTTAAGTGTGCAAAGAAACCAAGAAGTTTGTACAAGGCTTGAAGATTGTCTTTTTGTGAATATCTACCCTGAGTGAGCCTTCCTGAGTGATTGCCATGGTGGAATAGATGAGTTAGATCCTCTATGATCTATATTGATGAACTTATGGTTTTATGTACAAACCACCCCGCCACCAATAATCCAAACCTTGGGGGAAATCCCCATGTTTTTCTCATTGTGTTCCCTTAATTCTTTACTTATTATTACAAGTTCTGCATCTGTTCTTAGTTTCGTAGGCATTTTTTTAACATCTCAACACCCCTTTATTAGCTAGTAATCAAAACAGTATCACTTACAAGCAAAGGAGTGACGGCCTCGGGTGCCTCAACAAACCAAGAGTTTGGGGGTGGGGTGGGGGGGGATTTGCAAAGTCTAGCTAGTTCATTTGCAACAACATTAGCTTCTCTATGGCAGTGTTCATACCGCACATGAGAGAAGTCCCTGACCATATGATGACAATCATCAAGAATAGCAGCCGACGTTCCTGAAGAATTACCTCCATCTCGCATTGTTTAGATCAGATCAATATTGTCTAAATTTACTATCAACTTGTTGCAGCCCACGGACGTTACCAAGTTCAGTCCAAACCGAAGGGCAAGAGCCTCGACCATGAACACATCCATGCAAACACCAACAACATTATTGCTTGCTGCTAGGAAATTACTAGCACTATCACGCAGAACATCTCCAACCCTGCCTTGGAGCAAATCCGGATCAAATGAGGCATAGGTATATCCCGACGGCGGTCTTGACCACAGGTTCCTTTTCTCCTCAGCTGACTTGGCCGCCGCAACAATAAAATTCTTAGCAAGGGCTCGGATTGAAAGAACAATCTGTCGTGGTTGTTTTGTTTGCTCACCATGCGCAATTTTCCTTCTCTCCCACCACAGAAACCAACAGGTGATGATTAAGTTTTTCTGACAGAAAGACTGTAAGGAAACCCCATACAGTATAATTGGTGCAACAAACCTAAATTGCAAGTACCATGCCTTGAACCTGGGTGGGTGGGAAGGCATCAGCCCCTTCCCATCACTAGGCTATGCCTTAGTCTGCAGGTGACGGTTAAGTTACCATTCTTCTGACCAAGGACTATAGTCTCGTCCACCGGAAGAGACAGGAGATGTTCCAGGACCGCTTCTCCCACTCGATCGACTGTACATATTTTCTGAATGATGATATCCAAACCCAATTTCTTCCATACTTCTTTTTGCTTTGTTGCATCAGAACAACATGTGCTTCATACTTTCAGCATTTTCACACGCCGGGCGTTTTGTCATAATTTTTAGATGCCTATCCGCGAGACCGACTCGACAGGGAAGAGTGCCATGTAGCATTCTCAATAGGAAGATCCTCACCTTAGTAGGGCAGGGCAGTTTCCGCAAAAATTCCCAAATTGGATTGGGTGCAGCAGCGCTCAGGGAGTTTCTCCTTGGGGCTTTATGTTCATAGTGACTCCGCCACACCTCTAGATAGGTCGGTTTGACTGAAAAGATGCCATGTTTTGAAGGGTGCCAAGCAACAAAATTAGGCATGTCAAAGGATGGTAGTGGAATGGTTAGTATCCGATGAACGTCAACCGGCCAAAAGGTTTGCTCCACCAGCATCGCGTCCCAATGGCCTGTTGTAGGATCAATCAAGTCTTGAACCTTGGACAGCAGATTATTACCTCTTGGAATAATCGGTAGCCTAGAGGGTGATTGAGGAATCCAAGCATTCGACCAAATGTTTACTTCGTGTCCATCTCCAATTCGCCATATGTGCCCGAGTTTTAGAGTTTTGACCCCCTCCATAATACTTTGCCAAGTGTATGAGGATTTCTTGTTCAAGGGTGAACTCAACAAATCACCATCAGGGTAATACTTGGCTCTAAGTATTGTTGCACATAAGGACTTAGGGTCGTCCAACAAATGCCATGCTTGTTTCACCAGCAGAGCCAGATTAAAGCAATGAATGTGACGGAACCCCATTCCACCATCTTTCTTTGGAATACACATTTTCCACCAAGCGGACCAGTGGATTCTCCTATGACCGGCATCATCACCCCACCAAAACTGCGCCATCGTGTCTGTTATTCCCTTACAATTTTTTAGGGATTTTGAAGACCGACATTGCATAAGATGGTATGGATTGAGACGCTGATTTGAGAAGTTCCTCTTTCCCTCCCAGTGATAGAGCCTTTTCTTTCCATCCCATTAATCTCTGAATAATTCCGTTAATTAGGTAATTATAACAGTCACTCCCATCCAGCCCTACATTGGCTGGGAGCCCCAAATATTTACCATTTAAGCTTTCTGTCATAATCTCCAAGGTGGTGCAGACATGTGCCCTGGTCTCAATAGGTGTACTTGGACTGAAGAAAATACTTGATTTGTCTACACTCACTTGCTGTCCAGATGCCAAACAATATGTGTCAATAATTCCTTTCAAAGTTTCCTCATTCTGGATGTTTGCTTTCATCGGGATGAGCGAATCATCTGCAAATAAAAGGTTAGTCAAAACCAGTGCATCTCCATGCACTTTAACACCCTCTAGAGCTCCAGTATGTTCAACATGCGATAGTAGGGCAGACAAGCCCTCTGTACAGAGAAGGAAAAGATAAGGGGAGAGGGGATTGCCCTGTCTCAACCCGCTAGATGGCTTGAAACTTTATGTTTCCTATGAGTTGAAATGCATCCTGTACTGCATGGACTTGACACATTGCATACCTAGCTCAACCCAACTTGCATTAAAGCCAACTTTTAGCACGATAGCTTCCAAAAATGCCGATTCCACACGGTCATACACCTTGTGCATATCAAGTTTCACTGCACACCATCCTTCCCTCCCTTTCTTCTTGTTCTTTATTTCATGCAGACTCTCATACGCAAT